GTTACAAGGGTACTTGTCCCGTTTTGGATCCGGATGGAGAGTGAAAAGAATATAAATGGGTGGATATGCAGCACAACCCAACAACTTAAGTTTTTAGGTAAATGGGTAACCGCCCTCCCGTTACCGTTAGTATCAGAGCCGGACCCACTCTTTGATCCTGCGCCACACCAAGCGTCTGGCCCGAAAGGCGTCCGGGTGAGCCACCTGGGTAAGTAGGGTGACTCGACAGTAACGAGGGCGTTGCGAGTTTGAGTGGGAAAAAATGTTACAAGGGGTGCTTGTCTTACATCGGATCCAAATGGAGAGTGAAAGGAATATAAATTAGTGGATATGCAATACTATTCCTGGTTTGAGATTTTGTCCTTTGATGAGGCCCTAAAGAATTATTTGTACCCAGTGAGGGTCGAAACTTGATGCTTCATAAACTAATTGGGTCAAGTGACCTTATAGGGGAGATGATATTTACAAACATACCTAAATCTCATTTTCTATTATGAAATTTTTTAAACTAATGGTTAAAATTAAATCTCACCAAATATAATTGGAAAACAAGAATCCAATGGTATAAAACTCATCAATTATCTATATTTACATTGCAATTCTAGTATATTTTTTTTTATAAAACTTGGGTTAGACCAAGTAAAAAATTTAAAATAAATAAACACTTTGAAAAAAACAGTGCGGCTGTCAAGGGGCGGGGGTGATGGGTGACACCCCGGATTATCAATATATATATAAAATATATATGTAAGTCATCAATGATTTTGTGGTCAAGTGATATCTTTTTTTATCTCTTAAAATAAAAGATAATGATTTAAATTCTCACAAAGAAAAAGAAAAAAAAGAAAAAGAAGAATGTACCAGTTTCTTGCCCAAAAATATAAATATATATACAGTAGAGGCTTTTCATCATAGATCATAATGTTTCTTGTAAAAGTGGGACACAAGCATAACGAATGAAATCCCTCCTCTCTGAGTATATTGTCTAATTTGTCTTTCACAGCTCCATTCATCCTCTCTTTACCTTTTTTTCTTATTAGACTCATGTAGAGAAAAAAAAATCCTTTTATTTTTATTATTTATTTTTAAGGATAACCCATTCTAACCTTGTCAGCTTTTATTTGATCCTCTCTTTCATCATTGTACTATATGTAGCAAATAATTGTTTGTTTGACCATGTATAGTTGGACTACGACTCATCAGAGCTATAGAGATTTCCTTTCTGATGTATTTGTTCTCTTCCTTGATGGCAACTGGTCCCATGACAAAAGCTGGTGTAGGCCCACCACTCCACATGTTTCTTTATTGTCTCATATAACGTAAGTTGATAACATGGAAGGATCTTATGACACGTGTTGCACCATATTAATGTGCTCACACTACCACACATCCATGTTCTCATCTAATCATGTATATGACGAGGTTGCAATAGAGTCGAGACAAGTTGAGTATCTAGTCATTTGACCTTCATTCGAGTTTGATTTCCAATTTAATTTCAAATGAATTTGAAGTCCAAGCATTTGGATTTGCTTCCGCCGACACAGTTAGTTAACTTCTTTTTAGTGCCCGTTTCACAATCACATGTTTTGAACTTTTGTGTTTTCTTGCAGCAAAATAAAAATATAAAACTTGTTTAGTTATAGTACCAAAATGTTTAAATGAAAAAAAAAAAAAAAAAAAAAAAAAAAAAAACCCTAAAATTGTAAACTCTGGATCTATTTTGAATGAGTCATGATATTATTTTATTTATTTATATTATTCTTGAAATTTAGACACATATCATGTTTGGAACGATTAATATTAATTTAAAATAGTTCATAACATATCAAATTTTTGATTAAACACATATTAGTAAATTGGTGATATTGCGTGTGGTATTGTAGCAGAGGAACAAAAACAAAATTTCGAATTTTTCAAAACAAATTTTTGTTACCAAACATGATTCTGATTTATATCCAAAACACTCTTACAACAAAATAATTGTTTTGATATTTACCAAAAATATAACGTCCTAAAACATATCGCATCCAAACCGGTCATTAATTGATTATCAAGTTTGTATATAAACACCTCATAATAATATGTCCACTAGCCTAATTTATTTGAACTTAACTTGTTATCATGAAGTTGAAAAATATTATTCAAATGTGATTTACAAATTACACACGAGCATAAACTTTCATGAATGACTTTGTCATTTGTATCACAACATAGATTCCATTTATACTACTGTTTTGGAAAAAAGAAGAGGTAAAAGGAAAAGGGAAAAACCTTGCAGGGTGGTTTTTCAGTAAAAAGAAATTCTTTTGGAAAGGGTAAAAAGAAGAAGCGACCAATAAACAAATACAAAAATGAAAGGAGTACCAAATCATTAATTGAAGCAATGATCCAATTTTTGGTCTTCTATTTTGTAAAAATCTAAAGGAGGTAATACTGCATTCCACTTTTTAATGTTTAAATAATTTTAAATGAAATGATAATTCTAAATCTAACTTTACAAGTAAGTAATTATTATATTTTAAATGACATAATTGTCCTTTCAAATTTCCCCTCCTTGTCTCTAATCTTTAATATTTTAGGTCCCTTTTGACCAAAAAAAAAAAAAAAAGTTATGTTGAATAAATTACCTCTTGACATGAATCAAAATAAATAAATAAATAAATTATCTCTTTTGAAATGAAAAAAAATCCCAAAAAATTATATTTATTGAATAAATTATCTCTTTCTCAAGATAAAAAGAAAAAAATATGAAAAAGAAGAGAATTAAAAAAAAATTATCTGTATTAAACAAATTATCTATATTGCCAAGACCCAAAAACAAAAACAAAAAAAATTATTTTTATCAAATAAATTATTTATTTTGACAGGACTCATAAAAAATTACCAAAAAAAAAAAGTCAACCCTTCTGACATGATTAAAAAAATTAACTTTGTTGAATAAATATTCTCTTTAAATTGTACAAAAAAAGAATCTCGATGAAATAAATTATAAATTATCACTTTTGATTGCTAAAAATATAATTATTAATATAAATTATTTTCTTTGAGAGGCTTTAGGAAAAAAGAAAAAAATAATAATAATAATAAAGAAAGTAAAAAAAGGTTAAAATTATATAATGAATAGTTATAACATTCTAAATTAAGAAATTATATATTATAATATTGGAATCTAAGTCAAAGACAACCTTTCCTTTCACTTTAATACAGAATTGACAAAAGTAAATACTAGATACTCCGTGTACTTTCTTACGTTATTTTTAAATGGCGAATTGGATTACAAGCAGGAAAATAGGACAGTAATATTGATTATTGACTGATAATTTTGTACGAGCGAATCGTATTGGAGATTATGTGACACAAATATTCCAAGAATTATTGCCTTGTACTCTGAGGCTGGATGGACCAGGTCAAAACCACAAACTTGTGAGAGTCAGGTTTACTTTGGAATGGTCTTGAATGGAACAAAAATTAGTGTCGGTTATGAGGCTTTTTTTTTTTTTTTTTTCTTTTTCTCCACGGTTACGAGGCTTTCAATGCGCAGCGAGACGTGTTTGGTTCGTAATTATAAAAATAATTAAAAAATTATACAAATAAAATTTTGTTTTATTTAATTTTAAAAAATTCAGTTATAAAAAAATCTTTTATTATTCTATGAAAATTGTTATTTGTTTTCTAAATTTAGAAGAACTGTTTTCAAAGTTACAACAATTCAGAAAATAGAAAATAATTTTCATAATTGACACTAACTTTGGGATCTAGTCCGATCTTACTTGGTTTGTAACTCTGAAAACAGTTCTTAAAAATTCAGATAGAAGAAAGCAGTATTCAGAGAACAATAAAACACAGATCTCTAAAAATAGGCCTTTTTATAATTGAGTTTTCATAAAATAATTTTTACAAAACTGAACCAAGCATAGTTTTGTTGTACAATTTTCTGTTTTCAGTTTTTTGAAAAGAGAAAATTATTTTTAGAGTTACAAACCAAGCAGGTCCAACATACAGTTATTTGAAAACATGCCTTTTTATAACGGAATTTTCAAAATACTGGACCAAATAGAGTTTTTTTGTACGATTTTTTATTTCCAGTTTTCTTAAAACAAAAATTTGTTCTCAGAATACTGGACTAGAGTTTTTTTTTTATACTCCCTCCGTCCCATATTAATTGTCAACTACAAAAATTTTGACTCACAATTTTGGAAATCAAAGTTACTGAAATAGACCTATACTATGGGATATAGATAGTATATAAGTATATTAAAAAAAAATGACATGATTCAAAAATAAAATGTGGTAGTGAGTTAAAGTTTTTTAAATTGACAACTATTATGGGACCAAAGTAGTACACTTTTCTATTTTCAGTTTTCTTAAAACAAAAAATTGTTCTCAAAATACTTAACCAAATGTTACTCTAAAAAGTTCTAAAAAATTTAGAGAACAGAAAAACAGTTATCTGAAAAGAGAACAGAAAACAAAGACAATTATTTGAAAATAGGCTCTTTTTTTATTTTTATAAATGAGTTTTCAAAAAACAATTTTGAGAAAACTGAAATCAAGTGGATTTTTTTTGTACAATTTTCATTTTTAGTTTAAAAAAAATAAAAAACTGTTCTCAAAATTACAAACTAAACGTCCTATCTTTCATAGTTATGTAAAAATAATTTTGTATTATATGAATACTTGATAAGTGTTTTTAGAATTATAAATACTTTGGGCTATTTTTTTCTTTTGAATTTATCAATACAATTTAATAGTATTTAAAGGTAATAGAAAAAATGAGTATAAGTTTCTTAAAACAGTGAAAGGAAAGCCTGACCGCTAGAATAAATCCAAATTATAATTAAAAGTGAATATACAAGTTCTTGATCAGTTCCACCCTACAGAGTATATTTTTGTGTATAATAAAAACAAATTTGGTCAATCAATAATAAAGAACAGCATTTACTAACAGCTCAAAGCCTCTTAGTTAGGTATTTAGCCATTAATTATTAGTTGGTGATGTTAATCTTGTTATCCCATTGTTTCTATCCTTTTTCTTTTGAATCCCTCTCCATTCCATTCTTTATTGTGATATATTCTCCCTCATCCTCTTTTACAGTACTTGATAACCAAATATCGATACCCATAAACATACATAAATATATATACACAGAGAGAGAATTACAGACTAAATAAATACAGAAAGAGTGTGTGTGATTTATGGAGTTTAATAAGTATGTGAGTGTGCGTGTGTTTAGACAGAGAAAGAGAGAGATGCAGAAGCACAGTTGGAGAACATTGGGATCACTCAGGAAGCTGCTAACTTGCGCCATATGCTCAATTGCAATGGTCGCTGTACTCTCCGTCCACCTACATGTTTTCCCTTCCTTCAAAGTGCCCGACCCTTTCAAGTTCCCTACGGTCACCTCTCTCTCTCTCTCTCTCACACACACACACACACACACACACACACACACACACTTCATCTTCTTCTCACTTCTCCTGAACTGATTATTGCAAGTTCTTGCCCTCTTTATTAATTTCACACTGTTTCCATTTTTTCTGAGTTTGTTGACTTATAAGAGAAAAGGGTTTTTTTTTTTTTTTTTTCTTCTTCTGCATTGAATTATTATTATTATTTTTCTTGACAGTGTTTGTTCAAGAATGGGTGTGTGCATTGATATACATTGAAATTGCAAATATGAGATTATTTACTGATCTGGGTTGGTTCAATTTCTCAGCAATATGAATTTGGACACCAAAAATTGAGCAGCGAGCGAAGTTGGATAAAAGAATTTGTGCCTCCCCATCTGTCGAAAACCCCCCTCTCTTCTCGCAAGGTTTTGTGCTTCTCTTCTAACAATATGTGCCAATTAGTTTCCCTCTTTTCTTTAGATTTAAAAACGCTTCCTTAGTTTGGAATTGATACGCTTTTACCCTTTTAAGTGGTGCATATCATGAATGTTATATTGATCCAAGTTGGTGTATTGTGTTATGATTGTCGTAGATATAGGTGTGTATGTGTGTGTATATATTGCATCTTTCATGTTTTCACTCACATTAAACTTCACAGTTGAACAATGCAAGTGGGATTTTCAATCCTGACAAATTATGGAAGCCGCCACCAGATCGAGGCTATGTGCCCTGTGTTGAATCAAGTTCATCCTACACAAGTAAGGAAGTTGTGGTTTTGCATTTTTGCTTAACCTCTCTGTATTCACTTTTGTCATACTAATAACAATTCAGATCCTGGAGAGTCACAGGGTTACCTGCTCGTTAATACAAATGGCGGGCTCAACCAGATGCGAGCTGGGGTTCGTATCCTCTCTTCTATTCATCTCTTTCCCGCTTTCTCCCCCTACCTCCACCCATCTTCTTTATTAATTCTATAGAATGCTCAGGGGAGGCATGTGTGTGTGAGTACCAAATAAGGAAAAAAAAAAAAAAAAAAAAAAAAAAAGGGCTCTATAGAATGCTTAGAACATGATCTTTTGTCCAGCCTACTCTGTAAATTTCAGAAATTTAGAATTTTATTTTTTTATTATTTTTTCATACTTTCCTGGTTTGCATAGAAGTTGTAGGAAAAGAAAGTGAAACTTGAAATCCTACAATATCCACTCCAACTTTAACCTGTTACAAGATTTCAAGAATTTCAAAGACTATGACTTCTAGTTGTTAGCTTGAGTGGTCCACTCCAAAGAGAGAGGTGGTAGGTTCATGTCACTATTAAGATATAGATGTTGTTGAGTTGGCTCAAATTCATTGATTAAGGTTATTCGTGTGCTGGTGAATGGAGAAAAGCAAAAGTGAAGTCAGTGCATTGAATATAGAATGAAAAATGACGTGTGCAATGAAAGATAATGTGTGGTCTATGTGGCTGTGGTCAGTGCATGAATGAGAAGGAAAGAGTGCAAATGTGAGGGAGTGTGTGTGAAGTCGGCACCGCAAGGATGAAAACTAAAGAATGGAAGGCGGTGGAATTTGCCTATATGTACATTCATGCATTGAGAGAAGCAGGTAGAGGAGAGAAAAGAAGAAAAAAGAAGAAGAAAAGAATGGAAGAGTGAGAAAAGAAGAGAGCAGAGAGTTGGTGCAAAGAGGCACCAAGAGTAGAGAGATGTAGCCTCATAGAAATCAGTGAGTGTGTGACTGTGTTGGGGTGTGAGTGGGTAGAACACTGATGGCGAGCAGGGGTCTCGTGGAGTGGTAGATCATGAAAGGCTCAGGTATCTGGTACCATTCCCTGAGTAGAAAGTGTGTGTACACTGTCCGGTGTTCAAAATCTCTACCAGTGTAATTTCTTATGAGATAGTGAGTATGTATTCTCTACAGCTATATTTCTCTTCTTTAATAATAATAATCAATTCTCTTTTCTCCGTGGACGTAATCCAAGTTGGCCCAAACCTCTTTAAATATTGTGTTTCTCTGAGTTGTTTGTATTGATGTTTATTGTTTGGTGTTTGGATCTCTATGTCCGTTTGTGTCTTGCTTCCGTTGTGCCGAACAAAAGGAGATTAATTCCTAACAGATATCTTACTTATCACAGAAACGCAAGCACAAATGACCAGTTTCCTTTCAGTCATGATTAGAACGCTAGAATTAACATTACTAATCATAACTTACTTGATGGTAGGGCTATTTTTTATTGAGGAAGGTCCCCTTTCTGGTGTCCATAAATAGAGAACTATCAGCTTCCTGATTTTTTGTTGTGAATTTCCCTAAATAATGATCTTAACCTCTTCATCTTTTGATAGCTGAGAGGCAAATGTTTCACTTGGGTAGGATTAGATGCACTCTGGGACTGGGAGTTCTCATCCTTCCATCAATGAGTGATATAATGTCCAATCCCGTTAAAGACTTGCTTCGACATTTTACAGGCCTTTGAAGTATGAAGTATGCAAATTTAGCAAAATATCGAGATTGGGGATGTTTGATTCAAACCTAACGAGCTTGTCTTACTATTGCTAAGTTCTAATTGAATTATGATGTAGTCATCCTTATGGACAGTTCAACAAGTTCAAAACCTTTGTGATCCCATTAGTGCTAACCACTTTACTTACCCTAAAGTCCAAATCGATATGCCAAAGGCTTTGAGCAGTTTGGAAAATTCACCTTTGTTGCCGCACTTTTTCCACCCAGCCTGTATATTGCACTATCTGGTCCCACTAATTGCCACCTCTGTCGAAGTTTCCTTAATATTTTTGCAAATTCGTTACCTAGTAGACAAAGTGGAAGTTTACCCGTTTTGGCAAAAGCTAATTTTGGTACTGTAGTCAGTCTCCAAAGAAGTTACCCTTGTTGTTATGACAAACGTAGCAAACCCAAGATAGAACCAAGAATCACGACAAAAAAGTAAACACACCACACAAATAACACAAAGACTTGTACGTGGTTTGGCAACAACCTACGTATACGGTGGAGATCCGGCGAAAGTCTTCACTATGTGTAAAATCGGAGATTACAAGTTTTCAGCCCCTCACTCTGTTTCTATACGAATTTCAGAGTTTCTCTCTTACACCACTCCAAACCCTAAGCGCCCTTATATATCGGGCTACAAGAGACTAAATAGGGTCCACGACCCATGAGCAAAAACAGGTCAAAAATTTTTGTCAGGGAAACCCCAGGGGTCGTGCGACCCGGCACCAAATTCGGACCACAACATCACACTTGTAGTTGTACTAATCAGAGTAATGATATGGCATCTTTCCTTTTTCCCATCTAATATTGAAATATATGTAATAACAATTTAAAAAGTCAATTGTCGTAGTTTAAACTTTAATTTATCGGGATAGTTTAGTGCAAGGCTCAATAGCCATCCAAAAACTGAAGCTGCCAAGGTCTCCTTTAACATTTTATTTTGGCATAATTTAATTAATTCAACTATTACCTGGAGTTGAAGAATAATCGCATTGTTGACTTGTAGATATGCGACATGGTTGCTGTAGCCCGCATACTAAATGCTACTCTCGTAATTCCTGAACTTGATAAAAGATCATTTTGGCAGGACACTAGGTACAATTTTTTTAATACTCCAAAATCCGCATCTTTGTCTTGTGTTCTGAATGTTTGATGCTATACTTAATTTTTTCTACATTGAACTGCAGCAATTTTTCTGAAGTCTTTGATGAGGGTCATTTTATTAATTCCTTGTCCAATGATGTAAGAATCATTAAAGAACTCCCTGAGGAACTGGCAAATGCTACGAGGGCAGTTAAACATTTCAGAAGTTGGTCTGGTATTGATTACTACCAGGATGAGATAGCGAACATGTGGGAAGATTATCAGGTATATATATTGTGGAGTATTCCAACTAGAATCTGCTTACTTGGTCAATGCAATATTCCACATGCAATATTTGATCCAACACATTTTCTGATAGGTCATTCGAGCTGCTAAGTCTGATTCACGACTGGCTAATAATAATCTGCCTCCAGACATTCAGAAGCTGCGCTGCCGTGCTTGTTATGAAGCCCTCCGTTTTGCACCTCTAATTGAGGCAATGGGAAAAGTAAATCTTAAATGCTCATATACCTTTTTAGAGTGGCTATGTCTTAGTTGCAGCCAGTGTAATGGCCATCATTCAAGTTGTTATATTGATTTTGTAGTTGTTGGTCGATCGGATGAGGTCCTATGGTCCTTACATTGCTTTGCACTTACGATATGAAAAGGACATGCTTGCCTTTAGTGGATGCACACATGATTTATCCCCAGATGAAGCTGATGAGTTAAGGATAATCAGGTAGGATTTTCTTTTCTTTTTTTGACTTGTATCATAATAATCATCATTATTGTGTCCTACATTGCGTATTTATATGTCAGAGAACAGCCAACAGATATGTGCTGCCTGATAGACTTTCTATATCTTATTTTCATACTGACTTGTAGAGAGAACACCACGTATTGGAAAGTAAAGGATATCAATTCCACAGAACAGAGAGCCAAAGGGTATTGCCCCTTAACTCCGAAGGAGGTTGGAGTGTTCCTTACTGCTCTTGGATTCCCATCGAAAACCCCCATTTATATTGCTGCTGGAGAGATATATGGGGGTGCATCTCATATGGCTGATCTGCAATCCCGCTTTCCCATTTTAATGAACAAGGTAACTAGAGTGTTGCTTGATGTTTTTGCTTTTATTTTTTTATTTCCCCCCTCTATCAAATAAATTTCGTTGTGCTGTTAATAAGAATCTCCTGAACTGTAGATGTCTGATCAATTGGAATCAAATAAACGCCTAAGGTCTGAATTATGAAGGAAACTTGTGTCATGGAAATCTATTTTACAAATATAGTTAATTTTTTTGCTATGTGAGGTAGCTTGTCTAACATGGAGCTGGATTTATGGTTTTACAGTGTATGCTAATTGTTTCATCCAATCAGTTACATAAATACCTAGGTAACCTAAACTATAGTGGTGACAACTACTGAGGCTAGTCAAGTAAAATCATATGCATTGCATGTGAATCTACCCATCCATATACTAAAGAATCTAATCATATAATTGTGATAACAATGGAACCTTATGCAAATTTAACAGTGCTAACCATATTAACTGGTAAACAATGCAATTGAGACATTAAAATAAGCTGAAGAATACCTTGTTACATTACTTCGTCAAAGATTGTAGGATCAAGTCCCTCTTAGGCTACTTAGGAAAAAAAAAGTCCGCTTAGGCTATTTCTTTTAGAATAAGTAGTTGTGCCACTTCAGAACTTTTCAGCGCAGTGTGTGCCTTGCCTTTGGGCTAGGTATGTTAATTGATTGGATTTAGCATAATTCAAGTTTGAATCTAAATATGTGTACCAGATCTAAGTTTGAATTGCTAGTCCAGCGTATGCTAAATATTGAATCTGATTGCGCTTCATTAGATTTCAAGGTCAAACTGTTAGGTATTAAGGTAGTTAAAGAACTTGAATGTACCACACGTATTATTAAGTGATCCTCAGATAAATCTATGGCATTATTAGTTATATGTGATGTGTACACATTACAGAAATATCCAGGTTGGTAACTTAATCAGATTGGACTATTCCTTAAACGAATTTCCATCTGATTATGATTGCTCTCTTAATACGCAAATAAGATGATCAGTCAAATTAGTAATGAGATCAACCTGGTTTTGCTGAGGTGTATATTGTCACATTGTGGACAGCTGTTATTTTAAGTCTGTAGTACATTACAAACAAGAGAAAACATCTATGTAAGTGAGAACCATCCAAGAAAGTACTTATTCAACTGGCACTTATTGGTAGCTGCTGACCACCTTATTTCAAAAATCAATGTGCCTTTGAATTGACAAGGGCTTCTGATCATATTGTTAGATCTTCACTTCTGTGTTACACTAGTTTCCCAATGATTCTGTGACATATTGAATTCCTTTTATAATCATTTGGACGAACTACTGCAAATGAATATCGGTGGAGTTTGAAAAGCAGTGGTTAATATGGCTAGTGTTACAATGGATGGCCACAGGATTTCCGCATTATTAAAAACCTTTCTTGTTTGAGAGACTGCTGGCAGTTGAAGGAAGGGAAAGCCAAGGGAAAAGTCTTTGTTCTTTTGGGCAGTTAATAGAAAAAAGATATAATATGTTTAATGTTGTGGTATCAACTTGAGGGATCTTGTAGAGCATTTCTACACATTTCAGGTATTGGGGAGATCTTTTGAGCCATTTGAGAGTAATGTTGGGACAGTTTACTCTGTTTGCCTCTTTATAAGATGTTCTCCCACTTCTTTCACCCCTCTTTCCTCACCTTCTGATGCATTTTATAGCATATTCTTCACCCTATCCCGCTTGGTTGGTGGGTGGAGGATTACAATTAAGAAGGTGTCAGTGCTCTTACTTCCAATCATATATATTGCTGTCCTGGGAAAGAGAAGAGAAGTTCTCCAAATATTCGAATAGGCAGATAAAAGGAGTCATGGAAGTAAATATTCCAAGGGGCAGAGTATCGAACTGCGGCTGAGCTTGACTTTTATTCATTGGTTTAATAACAAATAATCAGTTATGAAAACTTAAGCAAGATAAATGTGAAAATGTCTTTGATAGATTGCAGTGGCTGTTACCTTTAGGGGGTGAATGGGTCTTATAGTTATTAATTTGCAACTAACTAACATTTTGAATTATCGTTAATCCTTGTTTAATGTTAACAACCATCTACCCCAAAAGCTTAATTATCAGGGTGAGGTAGAGAGGGTGTAACTTTAATATTTAAATCCTTCAACACGCCCCCTTGCATGTATTTTAATTATCAAGGGGATGGTGACATGTGAACACAGGTTCTTGCTTGCTCTGATACCATGTTAGTAACTATCTACTCCAAAAGCTTAAGCTGTTAGAGAGGGTGTAAATTTAAATAAAGTTATGCAAAGACACTAATTTTTTGATGTGGAAAACCCTAGGAAGAGAAAATTATGGGACCTAGTCCAAGTTGATCAAAATCCACTATACGAGAAAGAGGTTACAACTAAATTACCATATTCAGTCTAGAATTATGTTGTCCCTCTTGACTACTCAGACTTGCTAAAGATCAGACTCTTCTAGCTGCTGATCATCAACAGACTCGGCCTCAGGCAATCTGCTTCTCCATGGACTTGATTTCCACAGCTAATGTCTATTAGTTTCAATTCAGATATTTTCTTTGATTCTCTCAATCACATATAACTCTAGATTGATTCTCAATGCTTTCTCTATCTAAAAATATAAATCTCTTAATAAAATATAGGGTAATTTGCACTCACACCCCCCAGGTTTGCAATAAAGATATGTAGATATAACTTAGGTAGAGTGTGATCCAATTGGCCCCCAGGTTTGCAAACTTGAACAACACCACCCCCAACCATGATAAGATTACGTAATTGCCTTTTAACTTCTGAATTGACTCATTTAAATCATTAAATTACAATATTAACCTTTATAAGTCCTTTTAATTGACCAAAATGATCCTTAGCCAAAAAAAAGAAGTCAAACTCCACCACTATGGCTGCCAATGCCATATATATATATACACACACACACACACACACATAAATATACATATATCAGACTTCAACATCACCACCACCACCACACCGACGCTAACACCACCAATCCAAACCTTGTGATCGAACCTTGATTTCCTGACAACGGCGACGACTAGTGGAAGCTTGTGGACGGTGGTGGTCCTAATTTGGGCGTGCTTGTGGATGTTGGTGGTGGTGAAGTTTGGCTTTTATTTTATTTTTATTTTTTTGTTGAGGATCATTTTGATCAATTAAAATGATTTATAAATGTTAGGGTAAAGTGCAAAAAACCCCCCTTAAACTATTGCTCTTTTTCAAATAATCCCCTAAATTATTGTTTTTTTTGCAATTAAGGACAAATCCATTGCAAAGGACTATTTTATCCTTACTCATTAATTTTTTTTTTTAATTTTTAATTTTTTATTAAATTATTTTTATTATCTTTTCTCTTATCTAAATATTAATTATACTATTTACTTTAATTTCATTATTAATATCAATTTATCATAAAATGAAAAAAAAAATAATAATTTGTAAATACCATTTTCTAAAATGATTAACTCATTGTTAAAATTTTATTATTTATAATAAAATTTATTATACCCGGGTTAAAAATTTTTGCCGTAGAAAATACCTTCTTTTTCATACAATATATTGATGAAAATTTGATAAATTACTTTTTTTAAAAAAAAAAAAACCTTATTTTTCATGTAATATATTCATGAAAAATTAAGAAATTTATTAAATTATTTTAAAATTTTCTTCTTAAAATTTTTATTTAAATAATTAATTAAAAAAATTAAAGGTAAATTTATGCAAATTTAATACAGAATATGTTATCAAATTAGTATGAATTTTTTTCATAATTTATTTCAATAAGAAAAATAGATTAAGTGTAATTCAATAAGAAATGGCATTGTAGTCATTTAATGAAATACAGTCTAGGCATTAGGGCATTTTGCAACAAAATGTGATAGTTCAGGGGTATTATGCACAAAATATAGTTCAGGGGTATTATGCACAAAATATAGTTCAGGGGGGTTAATTTGCAAATTCAAACATAGTTCAGAGAGGTTTTTTGCACTTTATCCTAAATGTTAATATTGTAATTTAATGATTTAAATTGGTTAATTCAGAAGTCAAAGGACAACTACGTACTCTTATCATGGTTGGGGTGGTGTTGGTCAAGTTTGCAAACTTGGGGGCAATAGGATCACACTCTCCCTAAGTTGAATCTACCCGTCTTTATTGCAAACCTAGGGGGGTGTGAGTGCAAATTACCCTAAAATATTTAAGGAATTGAAAGCTTTTGCAAGAGATACACCAAACTGACCATAACCCCATATTTATAGCCAACATAGTCAACCCATGCAGTATGGTAAGTAGAATCCTATAAGAATTTTGATTCGAGAGGGTTCTCAAAATTATAGTTTTGTTAGGTTAAACAGACCAACACTCACTGCCATAGCTTCGTTCGATCGAGCCTATCAATAGAGGCTTACTGGATTTTGATAATGTTTTTTTGTTTTGAAAAGCAATTTGATAAAAAATTCCTATTTTGATAAACAAGATTAAAACACAATTTTGATCCTTGTAAAGATCGTCCCTAAGTCATAATTGGTCTTTTATGGTCTCAAATTACCTTAAAGATACATGGTTTAGTCTTGTGAGATTTGCAGTGTGCTCTTCGCTGAGCTTCATCTCTATCTTCTTTTGTGGTTGTAAACACACGACTATGTCACACATTACTACTCAATTTTTGTGAAGGAATTTGCTAACATGTGACTAATATTCCTAACAGTCTTCATTTTTTTTCATGTTCCTAGTCAAACTTCAATCAGTACAGAGGCTTAAAGACACCAAATCAGTTTCCTTTTAATGAACAAATGAAGTTTATTAGCAATTTAAGTTGCCTATAAGTTCATAAGTATTCTACAAGGAAAAGCCAATTAGTAAAAGTTTCCAAACACTGCACATAGTGGGACTGAAGAACAACATCCTAAGCATTAGGATGAAAATCCCTTCAAGCTGAAATCTTTGGCCACTCAGGAACAATTTCACGCGTGAAAGTTGAAGTTAAATCCATGGTTATCAATTTCTCTCTCTCTCTCTCTCTCTTTCGCGCGCTTGCTTGCTTGCTTGCACACAAAGAAGTTTATGTTTACTTTCTTTTCGTGTTTGTGCCGTGAGAGGAGGGGGTGAGGAGTGAGGACTACCAGCTTCTGAAATTTTAAATGTTTTTTGTTTGTGACTAGTAGATTGATTAATACCTGTGTTCATTTTGCAGGAAAATTTGGCATCAGTTGAGGAGCTTGAACCTTTTATTAATCATGCAACTCAAATGGCTGCACTCGACTACATTGTATCTGTTGAGAGTGATATATTTATTCCATCATACTCCGGAAACATGGCAAGGGCAGTTGAAGGTCATCGTCGTTTTCTAGGACATAGAAAAACTGTGTCTCCTGACAGGCAAGACATTTTCTTTTCTTGAGCACATCATAGTTCAGACTTTTATTTAAAATTGTCTCTCTTTATCTCTCTTAATTCAGGAAGGCCCTGGTTCATCTTTTTGACAAAATAGAGCAGGGAAAAATGGAAGAAGGAAAAAAGCTATCAGATCGGATTATTGAAATCCACAAAAGGCGGTATGTGAATGTGAACACAACTTTATCTACAGCCTTTAGATAAAATATAAGCATTTATTAATGTACTTGTGGTTTTCTTTGGGTTGGATATCCAGATTACCATTCCCAAGAAGATTGTTTCATCTGTACATTAGGTTTCTAATACCTATTATTCTCTCTGTCTCCTTTTTTTATCTTCTTTAGTGAGAACTTATATCTCTATCAGCATAGTACAGAATTATCATAAAATTTCATTGGCAATTTCCCATATGAGGCTCATACTGTGGTGAGCATTGCATCATGGTTTGTAATGCATATGAATAGTGGGCTATAAGTTGACACTGATATGGAAACCATTCCTTTTTTGTTCTATTAGCCTTTATCAGCAATGTTTTCGCCTTTTGTTTGCCTTTAGTTGGGGAAAGAGACGAGAAGTTTGAACTTGTGTGGATGGCCAGGGATGATCAGTCCTTACCTTTTGTACTTTTTTTTCGTTCTTCTTTCCCTTCATAGGTATTTTTACCCAACCTAAGCCTAGACCAGAGGTTAAGTTGCACCCAACCCCTTTAAGCCACTAATGTGAAGATATATGAACCCTTGAACTCCCAACCAAGGGAGGCTGCTTGATACCAATAGGCCACTAGGCTAATGTTAGACATACCCTGATGAGGTGATATCTGGGGGATATATCCTCAATTGACAATGGTTATTTTGCATGAAGCACATGTAATGCAGGTTTCATAAAGGAAAACAGTGTGGTGTTTTAATCCATTTCCTTAACTTGTTCTAAATTTTAGAGTATGAGGAACCACAAAGTGTATATTGTTGCTAAATTTGGCCCTTCTTTCTTTCTATTGGTTGCACAGGCAAGGGAACCCGCGGAAGAGAAAAGGCCCTATTACAGGAACAAAAGGCACGGATCGATTTCGTTCAGAAGAGGCATTTTATGTTAACCCTTTACCAGATTGTTTATGTCAGAAAGAAACGCCAAATATGAATACTTCTCTAATTATCAAGTAGATTAGACTTGGCAAAGTGAATTCCTTTTGTAAAATATCCTCTTGTTGCTGGGTTGGTGGCATGTTTCATTTTCTATTACTCACGGAAGCTTGAGCTAATGCTGCCATTACCAGAGTTGGGATTGAGGGCTGTGTATATCTTGAGACTAATTTCTCGGGAATTCTATACGTAAAGATTATACGGATTGCATCAGGATGAAGGACATGGGTTGATTGAGACAAAGCGATTCATTCTACCACGAACGGCTTTCTTTGGACTGAGAAGTTGCTCAAGTGCAAGAGGAGATTGATTGGGTGATACAATACTGCATTGGTGCTGTTACAATAATGTGCTCTATAGGGATGTATATGTTTCATTCACGGACATTCAATGCAATCATGGAGAGAAGTGATTCACTTCCCTCCATTCTCAATTCTTATAATAATATACACTCATGGAAACTCATTCTTGGTATTGGTATTGATTGCAGTGTAAATAGTGGAATTCTTTGGTTGAGGGTAGTGTGGGAGCATGCTTTTATTTTTAATAAATTTTTTATATAGTACTAGCAAGCCAGACAAAGCTGTGTACAGTACAATGATTTTATTGCAGGACAATTGGTCCATTACTTGGGGGCTATTTGAGACACAGAGTAGGGGAGAGGCAAAAAGTCAGAGCCATAAGAAAAAGAAAATAATCAATCAAACTCTTGCCATTGGGCTTATCCTCAAAGGAAGGTTGAGTTTTCGAGTTTGCTAGATGCAATATTATTGGTGTGTTTGTTTGGAGTGAAGAAAATAATAATAATAATAATCAATCCCTTACTATTTGATTAACAAAATGGAACAGGTGCTCTAGTTGTGCTTCTACATTTCATTTGCAATTGTTTAAAAACTTTATTTTAATTTCAGAATCTTAAAAATTACTCCGTATTTTTCAACTAATAACGGACAAATCCAAATTTCGAAGTATCCAAATTTAAGTTCCCTATTTTTCAACTACTAACGGACAAATCCAAATTTCAAAGTATCCCAATTTAAATTATATATTTAGCTTGAGGAATTGTACCTATTGAAAAATTTACCTTGCAGTCATAAATTCAAGGGGGCAGGTGATAAAAGGATTCCATTTTTTTTTTTTTGGAATTTAAAGCAAATTGTATAAATTTTAAAAGTAATTACATAGGAGGGCCATTAGGCCAATACAGAAAACCCAAAAGGAAAATAAACCAGCCCAAAAAAACAAGCAATCGGCCCATCAAGGAAAGCCCAGCCAAGAACCCAACTAATAACCGTAATTAACGGCTCATTAGCCGTTAAGTGAGGTTGTTAGAAATAATCCGGTGCGAACCCTAGCTGAGGACGATGAGTGATCTTCATCATCCATGAGAACTATCCGACGGCCTTGGAGGAGGACGACAGTGAGCAAGCGACAGATTCCAATCCCTGAGAATTTGCCTTGAGGATTGATTGTCTTTCAAAAACCCCGTTTTGAGCACAGCTGTGACTATAAAGGTGATCTTTGCAAGTACCACTCTCTGTGATGATTTTTTCCTTTTGAACATCCTTTCATTTCTTTCTTCCCAAGTATGGTAGATCATGGAGGAGAGACACACTTTCCTCAGCAGGTTCTTGGATGAATCCCTTTTCCAAAGGGTGCTTATGGAAAGGATAAGGTCCTCCCAATTCCTGATTGTAGTGCTGAATCTGCATTTGGATTTGATGAATCGCCATATTGGGGAGATGAAACTGTAGTTGAAGAATAAATATTGGTGTGATTCTAGGTGGCTTTCGCAGAGAGCATATATATTTTCATGGCGGGACATTGATTTGCAATCAAGAGTTGGAAGTCTGAATTGGACTGCTAGCCATAGGATGAATTTCATCCTGGGTATTGATGGAGATCTCCACACTAAATTGTACCAATGAACTTCAGGAGAATGCTCTGCTAGATGACTTGTAGTGTGTTTGAGGTTATAAGTGCCATTTGGTGATGCAATCCAAAGTTTTTTTTATCATTTCTTGAGGGACATGGAGGGGGAAGTGATAGTAACTCTGGGATGGCATTTGTGAGGCTAATGGGAAAGTACCAAGATGAAGGTGTTGACTGTAACTGTATCATTGAATCCAGCATCAGTGAAGGTTGTAAGTGGATATCTTGTGCTGAGAGGGCCTCCAGAGATCCAATTGTCCCACTAAAAGGCAGTAGCTAATCCATTACCAATTCTGTGTTGGATGAGAAGCTTTGCTGGATGCCTGAGCTGTAGAATCTTCCTCCAGCTCCAAGAGCAAGGTTAAGGGATCTTGAGAGTCCAAAAATTCCTTGACTTAATGAGGTGTGTGTTACACCAAGTGATCCACAGCTTGTTGTTATCATCTGTTTGTAAATCCCAAATATACTTCAGGATAGCAGCTTTATTGGTGAGCTCTAAGTTTGGTATGCCTAGGCCACCTTCCTTCTTAGGTTTACATACCATTCCCCAAGCTACTTTAGCTCCACTTGACTTCATCTTTGGACCTGACTAAAGGAATGATCTAAATATTTGGTTGAGCTCATTGATGACTGCCTTTGGGAGGATGAATAAGCTTGACCAGTAGATTTGTGTTGACACCAAGACTGCTTTAATGAGCCGAAGTCTTCTTGCATGGGAGAGAGACCTAGCAGATCAATGTGTGATTCTATTGGTGATCTTCTCTATAAGAATACTGCAATGCTGTGCCTTTAGGTTTGCGGAGATAAGCGGAACTCCAAGTACTTGACTGGGAGTGTGCCAAGACCAATGCCAATCACGGATGAGATTTGTCCTTCAATGTGAGGGTGAGTTCCAGAGAATATAAAAGGATTCCTGTTTTCTAAAAAAAAATATATCCAAATTTCCTTTTACATCAGTTCATATTATTTTACTTCTCTGTAAGTCAAAATTCTGTAATTCTGGGCCAGATTTGACCATGTTAATTTTTTTTTTTTAATTTTCTTGACAATCTATTTTTTGTCGGTACGACGCAGACATCTGTTGTAGAAAGAAATTGAGGAATGCGATTGGTGGGACCTAAAAACTTTGGAAACAGATCATTTATAGGGTAACACATGTCACCAACTCACTCATAACACATGTCTCCAACTCACTCCCCATACTCCACACGTGAAATGATAATAATCCTCTTATAGTCTCGACTCTCTCAACCCACACCATTCAGTCATTTACCTATCTTCTCTCCCACATTTGAAATTCACACACAGTAGGAAATGACGACGGTCTCTTATCTTTCAACTGTTTCTTCTTTGCTTCCACTAGCTGCTCCTCTCCCCTCTCCCACCAATGCTGCCTCCAGGTACCCCAATCATGCTGTAAGTTTGCTCTCTCTCTCTCTCTCTCTCTCTCTGTGCCCCCCCCCCCCCCCCCCCCCCCCCCCCCCCCCCCCGCTTTTTTAAATGTGTGTGTGTATGTATATATGTGTGTGTGTATTTGTGTGTATGAATGTTTATATTCTGAATTACTTTTGGTTCATCTATCAACCAACTCTTTTTGGATATAATTACCAAATATGGGTCACTAACAAATTCTACATTCAATGTGATTTCTGTGTTAAATCAGTGCACAATTAGTTGTAAGATTGAAGCTGACACTACTAATGAGGATCGATTTGGTCGAAGGGACGTTCTCAAATGTTTTGGCGCTACTGTTGGCATGGTAAGTCTATTCCATTATTTTACTTTTTATTTTTTATTTTTTATTTTTTTAAGTGCAAAGAGGAAGATGGTGAAGTGATGAAGATCCTTGAAACAGAGATTAGTGGAACTCAACAATTAATTGAATTTATATTGCTCAATGCAACTTGAAAAACTTATTTTGGCAAGTAGGTCTCCATAATTTCAAGTAGACATCTACATTTATCTTATTATATCATTCAATGTATTCAAAAATGATGCAAAGATTTCTACTATGAATTGCAAAACTGCCTTAAGTACATCTGTGGCACAAATGAACTGGTGAAGTACCTTCTAGTAACCAAGGGATGTAGACTACTTTCCAATGTAGAAGGTCGAGGGTTCAAGTCCCATAGGGGCAAAGTAGGTGTGTGAGTTTCTTGCCAAGGTAAAAAAAGAAGAAGAAGAAGATACCTTCTGTGTCGGACCATTTAGACAGATGTAATATCTGAATTAGGTAGTACAGTTGAAAATCAAATGCCACGCCATGAATTTTTAGTGGTTGGTTTTCTTGAGTGGATTCATCAGATATATTAATTTCCTAAGTTTTGAAATCCTGTGTCTAACATATACTATATACAGACCTGGGCTCAATGCCCATTGCCCTGGCGATTACTTACTAAACATTAATGAATGCCTGGCTGGTATTAATTCCAAAAATAAGAGCACATGTTTTGTGTTAGATGCATATCTAGAAAAGTATATACTTCCACGAATTAGGATGGTGTGGTGATGAGTACCAGCTGTTATTTTTCCATAGGAAATATTGACAAGCTCTGGCTCATTCGTTCAAGTGGCTAATGCTGCTGATTTGATACAACGCAGACAGCGTTCCGAATTTCAGTGTAAGCCCTCTAAACACTTCGATTGTGTGTGTGTGTGTGTTGTTGTTGTTGTAAACTCTTTTTGGCATCAACTGAAATAAATTTACGTACTTTTTTCACAGCAAGTATCAAGGGGACCCTTTACACAGCTCTAAAGGTATATCCCAATATCATTCTTGACGACTTCAGTCTTGGTGTATCACATGTTTAGAACACTTTTTTTTTGCTTTTTAATAAATCACATGTTTAGAACACTTTTTTTTGCTTTTTAATAAATCACATGTTTAGAACCCAATTATAGATTTGCATTAAGTTCCTCAAAGTTTCAACCTGCTATGTTATTATTTTATTTCAGGGAAATCCGGATCTCATCCCATCCATACTAACTTTAGCCCTAAATGATGTGATGACTTATGATAAGGTCAGATAGAAAGCCTTACCATTTAAAGCTTCATGCGGACACTAGAACTCTCCATTTTTTATAAAATTTTATGTAAAGCAAAAAATTGATGTGATTTTGGTTAAGTTTGTAGGCTACTAAATCCGGGGGCCCAAATGGATCAATACGGTTCAGGTATTTGTTACATATAGCATTAGTTTAGATAAGAGAAGTATTTAACAAATGAAGCAAAGCATCTTTAATTGAAATCGGGTGAATACTTATACAAGCTTAAAGTCAGATATGCATATAATATTTCACTGAGTAATCAGGAAAAAAATGCTCTTTGATAACTAAACTCCCTGCGTAAATCGATTCATATTTGACATTTTAAGATGTTTGTTTATGCTAGCTTTCAGCATCTTTAAATATCAATATGTGATGGTTCTTGTCAAGGACCGTAGCACCTTGGACTCAAAAAATGTGGGTGGGAAAAAATTGAAATGAATTGCCAATTTTGCTTTGAAGTTTTGGTTAATCGATGGCTAGTTTCTTTTCTTTATAATTTAAGTTTTCCTTTTATTGTTCATTTCTCAAACATCACAATGATTTTCTCCTTCTCCATAATTTTTCTTGCTTGAAGCTCAGAGATGAGCAGACCAGAAAATAAGGGGCTCTCTGCAGCTATGAGTCTATTGGAAGAAGTAAAGAAGGAAGTAGATTCATATTCCAAGGGTGGACCCATCTCATTTTCAGATCTCATTCAATTTGCAGGTTAGGCATGTCAAATGTCACCAAGTTTGACCAGTTCACCACTACATACTCTAGACTGCAAATTTGGTACTGTACTTCAGTACACTGTGTGTTTATAAGCTATAGGTTTTACCAACGAATCTATGGCAGATAACTATGCCTTGATTTAATTGGTTGACATGAATAATTGTATGCAATGGCTTCTTTAAGAGGTGGTTTTTCAGTAATTCCTGATTGATGAGTTTATTGTCACCACTTTTTGATCTATTCTCAAATAAAATCTTTGCAACAACCTTCTCTATTTTGCGTACTTTTTTTTTCGGTAGAGACTTTGATAAAGGTCTTACTGTCTTACCAAATGCTGATGGCTAATGAGGACTCAATCATATAGCAATGTCATGATTGAATGTCAACTTCATAGCATTTTTGAGAGCATCAGTTCTTCATGTAAAATGAAGTCAACACCAACAAATTATTTTGTAAAAAATCTAAGATGACTTTGTTTAAGTGCCATGAAGAAGTAGCAGCTTCATTTTAGATGCTGACTTTTTTTTTCTTTTTTGTGAATGCAGCACAAAGTGGCTTAAAGGCTAATTTTCTAGCTGCTGCCATTCGCAAATGTGGTGGGAATGAAGAAAAAGGAAGCTTATTATACAGTGCATATGGTTCAAATGGGCAGGTAGTTCCTCTTATTGTGCTGTGTTATACAGTTATTCACAGCATCAGTCTTACATCACAGACTACATATTATTCATATGGGTAGGTTCATCTATTCAAATTTGGTCACCTTGACGAGAGATCCTCCTCCTTCCCCCACCATCAGCTTCATGCTCTAAATTAGTTGATTTCAATATCTCTATGAAATTTTACAACTACCCAGCATAGACTCGTCTTCTCAAATTTACTCGCCTTGAAGAAATCGCTCCCCTCTCTTCCACCATCAGCTTTATGCTCTCAATCATGATTCAACATGTATTTTCAGTGTTATAACTGGTACCAAGCTTTGGCTCACTCAAGTATACAGGGAATTGAATTGGTGAACTTTTTGCCATTGCAAATTATCAAATACCAATTAGTTGATTTATTGGCAAGCTTTATATATTCCTTTGGATTCAAAAGGCAGTATCTGCCATCAAGGAGTGTGTTATTGCGTGATTGTTTGGTTATTTATATCACTTTGATAACGTAGGGGATACAAATGGCTATAGTCTATTAGACATCATGTAAAGAATGAAGAAGCAAACAAGAAATATTCCTGTGTCAACTCAGCTTTTGTGCTTATCAGATATGGCCCAATGTCTTGGCTTATTGGATGGTCAGGATTGGCAGTCTGAACTGGTCATTAATGCTTGCCCCTCCTTTTTTATTTTAATTTTTTTATTGTTAAGTAATGCTTGCCCCTCCTTTGAAAGAATCGGATGCTTCCATGTGCACTGAAGTTGTCCACTTAAGACGAAGTCGGAAGAAGAATTTTGTCTTTAGAGTTGGCAATTCAGCTACAGCAGTGGCCAAAGTATCAAACCTCGCCTTTAAGCTAGACCACGGTGTAGTAGGGTTCCTTCACGTATTTAGAGGGGTAACCCCATGCAGTGACTTCATATAGTCGATATGGTATGTCTGTGTCTTAGCCATGTCTTCTGGACATAAGTTATGTATGGTCTCTCTCTCCTAGAGTCAGGTCAAAGTAAGTTGTACTTCAAAATAAGATTATTTTGATGATTTCCCAATCCAGTCACCAAGCCACAAATCCTCTTATTGCTCAATGGGCTGTGTCATCTCTGCATACCTTGAAGTAGGCTATGATGAGTCAACCATCCAGAGCTGTGCGGTTGTGCCATATTCATGTACTTTGAGGTGGGCTATGATGAGTCAACTGCGGATCGAGTGTCGTATGCCCTCTAAAGTCCTGCTTCCAACTTGAGCTGTATACGATGTACACTAGGATGCATTTATGTTGTCTTTGAAATTCCAGGAGAGATTCAAGTGAGACGAGGCTTATTTGTGGGAAATAGGTTTTCCCACGAGGCTTAGCTATGGAAAAGAAATCATTGTGTTAAATGTACTTGGAGGGATCCCTTTGGAGAGACTGTGTACGTTGAGAAACGTCACCAATATCTGTCCAAACCTATATGGAGTGACCAGGTTTTTCTTCGAGGAGACAACTTTGAGATGAGATTCTTGGAGAAAGGAACTTTGATCACCTTAACAGCTTAACCTTGAGATCAACAAGTGTACCTGATTATTCTAACTTGGCCAAAGTTTGTTGATATTAACTTTTAATGATCTTTGTTTAGCATAAATAATGTAAATAAGTAAAACCTCGAGGTGTCATGGTAGCAAAATTGATCATTGGCTTTATCTACCAAACTAGTGACCTTAAATAAGTTGATTATGTGGTAATTAAGCTATCTATTATTTAGATGCCACATGTACAATGGGGTTCATAACTTCATATTACCCACACTATATAAACTTATCAAAAAAAAAAAATATTACCCACACTATATATATATATATATATATATTCACTTGGCTTGAAAACTAATGAATCATCTTATGACTTTACCCTCTTGTTTTCTTTTTGGATAGGTAAGATACACACATACACACAGTTTCTCCTTTTTCAGGACTTGAACCCTCAACCTCCTCTTTAGGAGGGCGGTCTTATGACAAACTTTTTTAGAACTAACGCATGATGTCCTAACAGCAAAATGTTTATTTATTTATTTATTTATTATTATTATTGTTATTATCACTTAGGAAGTAGTTATAATGTTGGCCTTTGATGTTCAGCTGTTCTTTTTCAATAATAAATTTTTTGCAGTCGGTTCTGTTTAAAGTGATGAATTAGTTATGCCAATAATGAGCTCTTTCGTATACTCATTCTGAATCTGTTGGTTGAGCCATTTATAATGTTGTCTTTTATCTAAAAATGTTAATGAAGTTGTGCTTATAATGCATGCAATTACTTTTGTGCCTATGCATCTACAGTGGGGCTTGTTTGATAGGCAATTTGGGAGGTCAGATACACAAGAGCCTGATCCAGAGGGGAGGGTTCCCCAATGGGAGAAAGCGAGTGTTCAGGAAATGAAAGATAAATTCTCTGCTGTTGGCCTCGGTCCCCGCCAGGTAACTTTTGTTCAATTATTCAGGGCCTTGTTTAATATAGAACTTTCTTAGTACACCAGAATTTTAGATTACAAACCATATCACTACTTTCGGCATATCCCAGAATGGCACCATTGCCGTTAGATATGTCAAACAAGGGTCAATAGTTGCACTGGTAGCAATAATACAGAAAAGAAGCTTAAGCTTAGCTTGACAATAGTAATATTTCCCCAAACTTCACAGTGGTCCCAACTTCTATTGGATAAAAATAAACATAAACATAAACTTGGATTGCAAGGTCATAAGAAAATTGCCTTGAAGTAATAGGGGTGCTTGGTACTGAAAACATAATGTTGAAGGAAATAATGATTCCAGATCTAAGCTCTGACCGTAATGTCAGCAGAAGCTTATGAGACCTAGAGGGGGAAATTAATGAGTATTTATTCTTTTGATTGATTCTAACTGGTATTATTACCAAGTTTATACTTTAGTCCAATCAATCAATCACACACATGCAATGAAAGCATTAAAGTAAAAAAAAAAGAGAGAGATCTTTCATGTGAAAAACGTTAGCAAGGAAAAATTACGGAGATTATGCTGTCTCGGGTGAATGAATCCACTAGTTTTTAGAAAGAGTACAAGTTCCAGTACCTTAGGAGCTACTCTCTGTGAGTTGTCTATTCATGTGCCTTCGGAATCACCTACCATTGATTTACCTTTGATGCTTAGTCTCCTCCGACTCTAGTGCCTTCGAAATCTCCAGCAACACTGATCCATACCAACTCAATCACCTCATGATGATTCACTTCTCTTACTGATCAAATGCCTATGCTCTTCTACAAGTGTGTGCAAAGAATTGTTTGATTCAAGGTTAATATGTTGAAATCGATGAAGCTCTGCGCTCTCAATTCAATCAAAAAGTTGCATGAATGGTCTTTAATCAAAGCCAAACTTTGAAGAAAACTACGAATTTATTCAATATCTCCCTTCTCTACTCTAATGTATGTTCTCTATTTTCTATGTAAAACATAAACTCCTTTATACGAGCTTTAGAAACCTTTATCAAGTCTTAGAATGATTAGAATTCAATTAGGCATGTTTTGGATGTGTTTTGATTAAATTCACACCTAATCTGGACTTGAATCTCATCAAAGACGCGTTAAAACCGACTCTGAGCAAGTTGGACGAATGCAAGGAGAGTTAGAACAGTATAAGTCCATGCTGGGCTAAGTTGGACCTGTACAACTTCGCTCTGAAAATTTTCCAAAGACTGCGCATAAGACCTAGCTTTCCGGGCTTTGTCGAATAGTGCAACAAACTCAAAATTGAGCATGTAATATATCGTTGGAAAGCTTATCGAGCCTAACTTTCAACTACATAAATTTCGAAACAAAATTTTAAGTATGGAATGAGTTATGACCCCAAAAGGACAAAGAAAGAGGTCAGATTGGAGTAAATACAACCACGTATGTGAGTATTGGTTCAGTTCCACTCAAATCATTATTTTTAGGTTTTCAAAACATATTTTCACTCCTAAAGACATTTTAAACCTTTTTGAAGTTTGCTAGATCAAATATATGATTTTTATCTATGTTAAACCAAGTTCAAAACCTAGTTCAAAGGTGGTCCACACTATCTAAGTCTTTATCAACGTATTTGCTAAGTTCTCTAAGGTTTCACTTACCTTTTTCTAAGTGTGATTGACCATCATGGGGCACGTTGTTGAAATATTTTGATATAGCTTCCATCTCCATACTTCAATACTCATTTTGAACTAAATTTCATTGGCAAGGTTGCCGGCAAGGTTTCATACCCACAAGACTCGCATTACATTCTATTCACATACCCTTTCATATAAATATAAGTTCAAATGTAATTTGTCAACGTACAAATGTTATTCTAACAATGACTTAATAGAATTTGTTTGTTCCTAGATGATTGGGATTTTATACTTTTGAGCAATAGTAATAAATATTACCATCTGTTCAACTTTGAACTGCGACGTCATCAACAGGAACATAATTTCCAACATTGGTCAGCCCACTTGGTAAAAACTACGGTTGCAATGAAACAGCAGCTTTCTTAAATGTTACTAATTATATGAGCTTTCCTTTCCCAATCTTTTTTACTCCAATTTACACCAACTTAGCTCTTCCTATTTTGCTTCTTTTTATTTATGCACATCCAAACCGATCTTACGTTGTATGTGTTTGAATTGTGTCCGTCGAGGATCATGTCAATTCCTTCATGGATGTACTTCATGTTCACACACTATTCACACTTTTCTCACCATTTACAACTTTACAGATAACTTATTTGTTATTAGACTGGTTAAAAAATGTTCACTAACCCAGTTCTTTGCTTTTCTTTTCGGCTGGCCAGCTAGCTGTTATGTCTGCATTCTTGGGTCCCGATCAGATAGCCACTGAAACCTTATTGGCCGCAGATAAAGATGTTGCTCCATGGGTTCAGAAGTACCAACGTAGCCGAGAAACAGTGTCAGCGACTGACTATGAGGTTAATTTCATAATCTCTCTTTTCTCCTTTCGACTTCACTTTTCTCCTCTCAAGAATGAAAATGAAGTTAAATAGAAAATTTGGTCCTAATGAGAACTAAAAGAGAATTGTTTGTCAGATCAATCGAAGAAAAAGAAACTTCCGTTACTTTTCACTCTCTTTTACCCAATTTTGGTATAGGTAGAACCAGATTTTCTACCAGGATTTGCTGTTGAATTCTATATATGAATGTTTATCTGAGATGCTATGTTGTATAACAAAAGTATGAAATTGGATTGTTTTCAGGTTGACCTGATAACCGCTCTGACAAAATTAAGTAGTTTGGGCCAACAAATCAATTATGAGGCGTATACATATCCTGTTCAAAAAGTTGATTTTGGCAAGCTCAAATTATAGAAACAAAGCAAATGGTTTTCGGAACGAAGCAGCTATGGTGAGCATCCAATTGTCATGAGAATAAGAAGGATCCGTGGCTTCCATCCAAGTTTATAGAGAGTCATTCAACATTACATACAAGAACTACAGCAGAATTTCGTTTAAATTTTCAGATAGCGCGGGTAACTCAACAAGTCACTATAGTTGAATGATTATTATTATTTCATGTTGTAATCAATATAATCTTGGGTTTGTTTTATCAAAAAGAAAAAGGAAATCACTATTAGAACCACCCTTTTGTGTAACTGAAGAGTTGTACGTTTTTCAAGAATTTCTTTATATTATTATGAAGCTTTGCATCAAAATCTTCGTCAAACTTCCTTTTCTGACTGTATAAAAGGGAAAATCTTCCAACTTGTGAAGACAGTATAGTCCATCAGTTGGGAGCCGTAACTTTTGCATCCTGAACCATCGGCTGAAAACTTCATTTTCTACAGGAAGATGGGAGCATCATTTGAAATTTTGAACAAAACGGGTCCATTTGGCAACCGATTCTGTTTCGTGTTTAAAAAGAATGATTGATTTTGTTGCGCTGTGATTTATTCTGAAGCAGAAAACAATTTGGTGCACATTGTGATATATACATTTGGACGATTGTAAGGGAAAACAGTATTTACATTATATTAACTTATAATAAAAATAATTGTTACACTGGTTTAGCTACATTAACAAGAACAAGTGAGAACATCTTTTATTGCTTTTAGTTTGGGGCCTCTCTTTTTTTTCTAAATCAGATGCGGTACCATGCAAAACATAACAAATGTTATCAAATATGCTTTTGCTACTTATTTATGTTTTTTCAATGGTTTGGCAACAAAAACACAAAACAGAAACAGTTGCCAAACATGCCCTAACTGATGCAACATTTAAAGGTGAATGACAAAAGAAAGATTTAAACAATTCAGACTAAATAATCTCCTAGCTTGAAATATCCGAACAATTCCTTCCCATCAGATGACTAATAATAAAGAATCAGCCAGCAAATAGTTTTTTGCTTTCAGATATAATAGACAGAAAACAGTTCAAATATTCAATATAGTTTCTGAAAACTATTCTCTTATTCCAACAACTGAACCAAACAAAACCCAAGGGACAGAGATACTCATCCTCACATGATGTCTTGAGAAAGACATCAATTCTAATCAAATGAGGCATCAATTTTAATCAAATGGGAAACACAAAACAGCAGTAACCTTTATTACGCACCGTTAAAAAAAGGCAGGCCACTGGTTACCTGTTACTGTTACAAACCAGCCAAAAGTGTTAAAAATTCTGGAAAGAAAGTTCCCTAGTTCCATCAAAAGTGATGACTAGGAACAACTTTGTTGTAGACACAAGCCGAATTTTTTTATTAACTCTTCTGAATATAAGATTACCCATGGGGGAATCCCATTGTCATTTCAACAAATTCATCAGGTCATCAAGAAGCAAATCGAACTATAATGGCAGGACCCATCTACAAAGGGCCAGGAAAAGTACCATTCTCCCTTTGCTCGTTCCACCTATCTACCTGCATCCAAAAGCAATATGATACAATCAACTTTAAGTTACTAACCATAACGAATCCAGCAGAAGGAATAAAACAACATATACAACGGTTTACAAGGCACCTAATTTGATTAGTTTAGCATTTTAGATATATAAAGAGCTGTGGAACAGCAGAAGTTCAATGTAGGTCATCTTGAAGTCGCGTCTCAATAAAACTAAAACAAATCTCAAAATAAACAGTGAAGTTGTGAGGACATGCAAAACCAGAATAAGGTATTTACCCATTCACCAGGGCAAAGAGAACGATAATATTTTGCGAACTTATCACATTCAGGAGCACTGTCCCCCTTTGCAGCTACACACCTGAAAAGATCAATCCATTTAAGAAATGTCAGAAAAAGTACCGTGCCAAATTGGTTTGAGAACAAAGGGAGTTTAAGAAACAAATAAAAATAGCGGAGGTGCGACTAGATGACTCACCGGTGATACTCAATGTATCGGGTAAAGCAATGCCTGGATTGATTGGTAGTTGGGAAACGGAAATCTGCTGGTGCTGTCTCAAGCTGGTAACCAAATCATTGCACATAAGCAAAAGAATGAAATATAAGAAAATGAAGTAAAACAAGTATTATGCAGGAAGGCAACCATTAAAGAGCCTCAAATATCGATGGTCTAGTCAAGCTAACCTTGATCTCTGGTGTCTGTTCAGCAGGTTCTTGGTCACCTGAGTCTTCCTGTTCAGTGCTGTCACTGCTTTCTTCAACAGCAGCTGGAACAGTTTCACTGACACCTTCATCGGCCTCAGGAGTAGATTCAATGCCTTCTCCAGCAGCAGCATTGGAGGCTTCACTGCTTTCCTCAGCAGAAGCAGCAGCAACTTCAGTACTTTCAACAGCAACAGGGATTTCCTCAGTTTTCAGAGTGACAACTTCCTCTGAAGCAGCATTTACAGGGTTTTTAACCTCAACCTCTTCCACAGGTTTTGTACCCGTATCCAGTTTCTCTTCTTTCTCCTTCAATAGATATTGCTGCATGCCAAAGCATCAAATAAAAAGTTTTTACAATGAGCTGCCAAAACTACTATGTCACGCAAAGAAGATATCATTGAGCATGCTAAGGCCCTGTTTGGTATGCGATATGTTTTAGGTGTTTTTTTAGTCAATGCCAAAAAACCGTTTCATTGTATGAGTGTTTTGGGTAGAAATCGGAACTATGTTTGGTAATGAAAATTTATTTTGGGAAATTTGGAAATTTGCTTTAGTTCCTCCGCTACAATACTAAAACACACAATATCACCAATTTGGTGATATGAGTTTGGGCGAAAAAATCTGATATGTTATGAACTATTCCAAACCAATATCAGCAGTCCCAAACATGATATGGACCCAAATTTGAAGACCAATATCAGAAAAACAATATCATAACACATTCCAAACAGGCTCTAAGAGAAACAGAGTCCATATATTCTCACACTCCACATAATCGATTCCACAGAAGTGTGTCAAAATGAAGGAGAATTTTATGTGAGGATCCTGGAGGTGAAGTGGGGTGTTAGGGTTGTTTATATAATATGACCAAGGAAAAACAAACTAATTGACATTAAAATATTTGAAGCACAGAAAATAACTGTGGCACGGTGCGCTAGGGTTGTAATGGCATGAATTATAAGTTGGAAGCTTTAATCTATTGTAATATGATTGTTTTTTGTTCTTTCTTTTTATTTTTCTTCCCCTAGAATCTGATTGCTTTTATGTGGTCAGAAGAGAACTCAGTTATCAATTGTTGTAGCTTATATAGAGTTCATCATTTGTTCTGAGAAAAGTGGTTGAGAAGGCTAAGATGTGAACAAAGAAGCTCATAGCCATAAATATGTTTGCATGTTTAACTCTTGACTAATCATTATATAAACTCACAACATCCACGTACACAAGAACAATATCGCTATTCAAGCTCGCAAATGAATTTTATGAATGTAGTGTTTTAGATAAAGAACATGAGATGGGAGATTGTAGAGAAAGCAAGAGAAATAAAAGAAAATTGAGGTTTGGTGTATGCTGGCAATGGTACATAGGATGTGGAGAGAAAGTGAAAAAGAATGGGATGGTGGTGGATTTGGGTGGTATGGATGGTGATGTTGGGTTAACTATTTTGGACTTTGTAACAGTCAATTAAGATCCATGTGCAACCATTCTTGATGTAATATTTGGACTTTGTAAAGTAGTAGCTATGTGTGCTACACATGAACACGAGCATGCAAATCTGAAACTTCCTGATACCATTTTTTCATTAAAAAAACAAAAGTAATGAGACTTTAGCTTTAGGAAATAAAAATAAATAAATTTAAACTATTCTCATTTCTGTGAAATAAGTATTCCCTTATCAAAATGTATAGACATAAAAGTTCGGAGAAATTTCCGAATCACTTGTTCAAACATCTAACTTTACATGAAACTAATGGCTATGACTTGCCTTTTATCAATTTCTCTCCCTCCCTTTCCAAATTAAAAATGTGATATGAGATTATTTGTTTCCATCAAACCACATGGGTGTAGAATTGTACCTACAGGTGTTATGCTGAAATCTTGTTACCATTATCATCATCATTCTTGCCTTTTCCACCCCATAAGAATAGGGATGTTAAATTTGTCATTAGTCATCATTACTCAAATAAAATTACCTGAAATAGTCATGCTTACTCTCAGTTGTTGGGCTATCTCTGACATACCATTGGAAGTTGCTTTTGCTTAAGTGACTTGTAATTAAGTATGTATATTTAATTAAGTACGTGTTTATTATTAGTAATAGATGTACTTCAAGTCGAATCTAATTATAAAATGCATAGATTTGTGATAGATAAGAAACTCCAGCGCTACAAACATTTGAGGATGTGAGGCCTTCTGCGGATAAGCTGAAACTTTCTTTTGTAAGATTCTTGTTTTTCTGGAATTTGTAACCAGTTTTAGAGTTGCATCTTCTTTATCTGATTGTTATCTCATAACTAATAGTTATTTTGGGGTTTTTTTGGTTTTAACATTTTGGAGGGAAGTTGTTTCTTTGGTTTACGTGGTCAAACTTCAATTATTCCCATTTTTACGCTATTTCTCCTTGATAAAATTTGTTTATTTATCACAAAACGTTCACAACATTACAAAAAATATATATATATATATAGTCTGACTTTAACATACAAGTATTATGCATGGTTTTTACTGCAAATCCAACTCACTCACAAACAGCAATCTGTCTTTGTCATGATACGTGCACAAGAAAAAGGCCGCGTTTGTAAATCACATAACAATCATAAGAAATAGTAAACCTAGGTATTGATTTGTGATTTAATTTACTTTTTACATCAACTTGTTTAGAGTCAACATTGATCTGATAAAACATTCTTAAACATATATTATACGGAGTATACACTAACCATGGCTTCAAATAAGGTTCCAACTAATGTACTTAATGAAGTCTATTGGAGATTCTACCTAAACCAAGCTTAAAAGTCTTCTCTTCAATTTGAGAGCCACCTTCTTCTTGTTATCCATCTGAAGCAAAATGATCAGGTAGATTTTATGCCTTGAGGCGGACCTAAAGTGGGATTAAAACAAAATCCATAGAGCTTAAATCTTCAGGTTTCTACCTTATCGTGTGTGCTGACATGCAAGGTATTTCAACATTTGCAGCTTGCTCGTAATAAATTGTTATTTCAACATTTCAACAAATTGATATAAAAAGCACATTAAATCCCAGAGCAATACCAAGGTTTACTATTTGCTGTGATCATTCTGTGATTTTTAAATCCGGCCTTTTTTCTTGTGCAAATAGCATACATGACAAAGTCAGACCGTTGTTGGTTAGCTGGATTTGCAATAAAAACCATGTGTATAATTAAGGGTGTGTTATGTTGAGATCGTTTTTCTGATACAAAAAATAAAAAAAAATAAAAACAAATTTTATCGGGGATAAATAGCGTAAACATAACCCAATTTTAAAACCCAAAAAGCAAAGCAACAACAACTCATGAGATAACAATATCAGACAAATAAGAACCAACTCTAAAATTTCACCTTAACCGCAAGATGCCCCACATACTCAAATATTTGAATTTCACTCTATTCTCAAATGTTTGCACTTCACTCTTCTAGATATAACAAAACAAGCTATGTATGTTCCAATCCATATAGCCCAAGAGAATCTATACATTTTATAGTTAGATCCAGTTAACAATATATAAATACTTATGCATACTTAATTACAAAGCAACTTCCAATTGTAAGCCCACTGGTACAAATAGGTCAATTGTGAGATAGGCTAAGTTTGCAAAACAAGTACGATTGTATTTCAGGCAATTTCATTGCGCAATGACAAATTTAACATCCCTATTCATATGGGATATAAAAGGGCAAGGAAGATGATGATGATACAACAAAGAAAATTACTTATAAAAAATAATAATAATAATAATAACAACAACAAATTTGAACAAAAACTGATAGGATTTACAATTCTACACGTTGGATGGGAACAAATATTGACACTGATATTAGCTAATGACTTTAAGTTGATTTTTTATTTTTTTTTCTAAATTAATAACTGATGATCTCATATCACATTTTTAGGCAAGTTTTATATAAAATTAGATGTTTGAACAAGTAATTCAATCTTTTGTTAAAACTTGTATGTTTATACATTTTGATAAGGGAATACATTTCACATAGATGAGAATAATTTAAATATATTTTTTGTATTTCCTAAAGACTCATTACTTTAGATTTTTAATGAAAAATTGGTATATGACAGTTAAAGACTCGTGTTGATATGCAGCACATGCACCTTCTACTTTACAAAGTCAAAAAATTACATCAAGAATGGTTGCAAATGGATTTTAATTGATTGTTATATGGCATTGTTTAGATCATCCACAATTGTCACCACTCAATGACTGTTCTGTCCTCCACGTCCCTATGGTTGAGGATTCAAGCCCCGCCAGGGGCATGTGTGTGTGACTGTGAAGCCCCGCCAGGGGCATGTGCATGTGAGTATACTTAGCTATTTATAAAAACTAATGATAATAAAAAATAGAGACTCCTTTTCTAAATGTTACGGCACTTTTGTGTCATTGTGTGTGTGTGTGGAGGGCAACCAAAAGGAATAGTTTTGATTTACAGAAACTAAAAGGAATGTATCCCAAACGAGTAAGAAAACGTTCAATAATGTCATGTCATCTTGACCAAAATTCATTTCAAGTTCAATTGTGGCCTCATCATTGAGGATTCTTCCTATATTTCACAAGAGCAAATTAGTTTACGACACATCCATTTAAGACAATTTGAATAAATCTCTCCTACGACAAAACCGGATCATTATTATAACAATGGAATTTTCCCACACAAACTTTCTTTATACCCACATAGCTCGTATCATCAAACACTTCACAATCAATCCCTCACAGATTCCTCATTTTACCAGCTGGATATTTCTCTACTGTTTCATTTTATTTTATTTTATTTTATTAAAAAAAAAAAAAAAAGTACACAACAACAAGAACTGAGATCGATGCTTGATTAGATGTAAATTCACAGGAGATACATGAACTACCATTGAAAATGAGAAAGAAAGCCAGAACTTGCGAATTGAAGAAAAAATACAGATCAAATTGATAGCTCTGTTGAGTTAAGCTGAATTAATCTAGATCAAATTGGCATTATGTACCTAACATTTCAGATCAAGAAAATGCGTAAAGAAATGGTAGGTGTAGAGAATTGTTTTTACCTCAGCTAAGGTTAGGGTTTTTCCGGTAGCGACTTCAGCCATGGATTGCTTTGAAAGCGAAGCTTCAGCTGCGCAAGGCTGCCAATGATAAGAGGAAGAGAGAGACAGAGAATCAGAGAGATGGTTAGGTTTTAGATATAGAGATACAGTGACTACACAGAAATTACTGCAGAGGTGAGTGTTGACTGTTGAGGAGGGCTAAAACTGTGACCAACCATAATTAGCCACGTTTCAGTTTTCGCTTCGGAGTCCGCAAAGCAAGGAATAACGTTTTATGATTGGGATGGGGCCAAAAAAAAAAAAAAAAAAGAAAAAGAAAAAGGAAAAAGGGGGAATGAAAATGAAAATGAAAATTAATAGAAGATTTTCTTTTTTTTCCTTTCCTTTAAAAATTTTTAGTTGTCTTCAATTTTTTTAAATATTCCTATTACAACTAATGTACTTCAAGTGTCAGTAATTGGATTGATGACTTGTTCATTTGGTGTTCATTATCAACTTTTGTTTAAAATTTTAATATATATATATTTTCTCTGCGTGAGGACCAATTTTGTATGAGAGTGATAAAATGACACCTTATGTTTAAAATTTTAATATATATATATTTTCTTTGCGTGAGGATCAATTTTGTATGAGAGTGATAAAATGACACCTTATGTTTATTATAATTATTATGGAAGGACAAGAAAGAAACTAAAGGGTTTCATGAACATTAATTTTGCTATTCTTTCAAAATTAGATAGAATACCAAAGTTTGAGTCGTGCTTCTTCCCTTTTAAAATGAAAGTCATAGAGTCCGAATCCTCCAAACCTTTTAGGGCAGAGCTAATGTACGCTCGAGGCCGGGCCGGGACATGTGCCCCGGGATTGCCCCACCCCCATATATGTTTCATTTTTTATTTTTCATATATAAGAGAAATTTTATATTATGCATCTCTAAAATTTTCATTTATTAAAATTATCACTTAACTGTTTTCTTTGTAGTTTCTTTTACTTTTCAAATTTCTTTAATCTTTTCTCTTTTTTTTTTGCTAAAACAATAATTACATTCTATTTCTTCAATTAAATCATTTTTGTTTCCTTCAAAGTTCTCTCATTTTTCCTTTTTTCTTCTCTTTCATTAATCAAGCAAACACAATAAGATATTAATACTATTTTTTTTTTTCTTCTGTTAAACTAATCTTATTATTAGGTTTTGAGCATGCCGAAGATAGAGTGGGCCGGATTTGACCTACGAAGGAAGCATCGGATCGAACAGTTGGACTCAGCCCATACTGTAACATTGTAGACTGGGCCTATTATCCGGGATCTACCGAACAAAGTCAGGCCCAAAAGGAAGGAGACCCGAAGCTAAGAGCCCTACATAAGAAGTTAGTTACAACACTCTAACGGCACTAGTAATTACAGATAAATAGACCATTGCGAGAGGAAAAGAAGGGATTTTTTCTGTTGAAGTGTAAGAAGAATTCTAGAGAGAGAAAAAAGAAGAAGTTTCTTGCATCTTCAATTGGCGCCGTCTGTGGGAACGAAGAAGATTGATTTTCGATCGATTAAAAGTAATTTGATCAGGAATGATTTGTAGAGAAGAATCTTGATCTCTGAAAACTAGATCAAGATCGGCGACATTGTTGTTTGTTTGGCCGAATTCCGATTCTTCTTGATTTGGCAAAGATTTGCGTTTGATCTACGCAGCTTTGATCTGTGCCTGTTCAATCTATCAACGCAGCGTTAATTTGATCGTGATTGCAATTGATCTGTCAGAGCTTAACTTCACAGGTTCACGGTGGATGAAATAGGGATTAGGTCAAGAGAGGTCATAATTCAGCTAATTCGAATCTAGATCTGGTGTGAACGCATTAGCAAAACTCAGATCTAATCAAAGTGTTGCAGTTGATGACTTTGCTTCGATCCGGAATGATGATCGGAGGCGAGAGTTCAAATCCAGTAGAGAATGGTCAGCAGATGAAGCTTGATGAATTGATGAGCATGATCGAGGATCTGAGAAAGGAAAACGCAGAGTTGAGAATTGAAAGGCAACATCGAGAAGGTCCGAGTGTACCACGACCACTTCCGGTGAAAGAAAGAGGTGCACAGCTTGATGAAGCACATCGCAACGAGCGAGAAGGAGATAACCATAAGGATCTTCACAGCGAGGAGGTCAGGTTGGAGGATCTACCACCAAATCCTCGTCGAGTCGAAGATCGAGAAGGATCTATACACCTCGATCCGTATCGTGAGCAGACTAGGCGAGAAGAAGCTACGCTTTTCAATCCAAATCAGGAAATGCACAATCGAGGACAGGCTACGGAGTTTGATCACCACAAGCCTGTCTCATTGTGGCAGAAGGGGTTCATTGATGAAAGGTCGTTTGATCCACCTTATCGGCCTTCGATGGCCACATACGATTATAGGAGTTCGAAAAGCAGACCTGCAGACCAAAGAATCACTGCAAGGTTCCAAAGAGAGAATGAGGCCCTCCGTTCGGCAGCAAGGACGGTTGATTCACCGTTTACTAATGAGATCTTGAATGCCCCAAACCTGAGGAAGTTTTCCATGCCTGTTTTAATTCTGTTTGATGGAACAACCGATCCGATTGATCATGTATATCATTTCCAGTTGAAAATGGCCCTGAACATCGAGAACGACTCCTTAATGTGCAAGTGTTTTCCTACCAGTTTAGCTGGACCAGTGCTCAATTGGTTCAAGAACCTACCGAGGGGCTCAGTGGATAGTTTCCGAAGTTTATGCGATCGGTTCATAAGCCAGTACTATGGGAATAAGCATCTGGCAAAGGACATTTCGAGCCTGTTCACGATGAAGCAGTATGAAGACGAGTGCCTCTAAGCTTTTCTTACCAGGTTTAACCTTACTAAGAATATGGTGATTGAATGCCATCCTACAACGGCGGTTCAAGCGTTCAAGTTGGCCATGACTCGTGGCACTCCGTTCCACACAAGCGTGGTAGTGAACACGCCGAAGACTATGGACGAACTCAATGAAAGAGCTGATGGTTTCGTGCGTTTTCTGGAAGAGGAGGAAGTAGCCAACGCTCGGAAAACATCCATCATATCAACAGAAGAGAAAATAAAAGCAAAGATCAAGCAAAAGCAGGCTCAGCCATAGCGTCAGACCCCCTGGAAGGCAGAGAAGGGGCCTAGAGAGGAAGAGTTGATCATTCCGCTAAAGGTCACTCTGGCGAGGCTATACCAGGAAAACAAAGATAAGTTCCGTCCACCTCTGCCAATTTAGTAACCTCTCGAACAGAGGGATCAGACTAAGCATTATGCTTTCCATAACGATTTTGGTCACCAGACTGATGAATGCAGGAACTTAAGGAGGCAGGTGGAGATGCTAATCGCCAGAGGCGAATTTGCAAGTTATATTCAAGGGCCTACAGCAGAACATAACCAACTGATGGAGCAAGTAAAAATGAGTCAGAAACCGAGCTCCCATAACACACAACCAGTTCGTATAATAAATGTGATTCACGGTTGGCTTGAATCAAGCGAAGAGTTAGGCGAATTACTCCGAACGCGTCTTCGCTAAGCGCAAATGAAAAGGAGGGTAGGCAGTGTGAACGTTTTGCACCAGCAGAGCACATCAACACAAATAAAGTTTGATAGGACAGATCTGTTACATGTTTAAATTCCTCACGAGGATCCATTAGTCGTCAGCCTGACAGTGGCGAAATGCCTGGTACGAAGAGTTCTGATTGATCCTGGAAGCAGCGTAAATGTTATGCCGAGGGGCATGTTCGATTGGCTCGAGATCAAGCCAGAGAAGCTCAAGCCTACTGGAAATCCCTTGCTAGGGTTCGATGGAAAATGGGTAGAACCCATCGGAATGGTAGAAGTAACTGTGCAAGCAGCGGAGAGAGTCTTGACAGAGAGCTTTGTTGTTGTTGAAATCCATCCATCTTACAACCTTCTGATGGGCAGAGGGTGGATTCACAGAGTCCAAGGTGTTCCCTCAACTTTGCATCAAGCAATGAGATGTCTGGGACCAGATGGCACCATGGTGATTGACATTCATGGCGACCAAGTAGCAGTCCAGGAATGTTATTCCGTGACGCTGAAATCCGCTAAAAATGGCAAAACTCCCATCCGTTCTGCGAGCCCGAAATAGCAATTACAGGAGCCTCCACCCACCAAGATTGGGGAGGAGGAGCCTTTGAGCTTAACTGAAGAACCACTTGTGGATGTGCAGATCGACCATCATAAGCCAGAACGAACGACAAAAGTGGGAATGAAACTCACCGCAGGGGAGAAACAGGGGTTAACTGATTTCTTGTCCCAGAACTCAGATGTGTTCGCATGGAGTCACTCAGACATGCCCGGAATCAGTCCAACAGTTTTCTGCCATTCTCTCAACGTCAATCCGAGCGTAAAACCTGTAAGGCAGAAATAGAGAAGGTTCGCTCCAAAACGCAATCAGATCATAGCCGAGGAGGTTGATAGGTTGCTTGATGCAGGGTTCATTAGAGAAATGCAGTACCCAGATTGGCTTTCAAATGTTGTTGTTGTACAAAAAAAGAATGAGAAATGGCGAGTATGCATTGATTTCACCAATCTAAACAAGGCTTATCTGAAGGATAACTTCCCGTTGCCCAAGATTGATCAAATGGTAGATGTTACTACTGGGTACGAACGTTTAACTTTCCTGGATGCTTATTCAGGTTATAATCAAATCCCCATGGACCAGGCTGGTGAGGAGAAAACTTCTTTCGTTACTGAGCGAGGGACCTACTGTTATAAAGTTATGTCGTTCAGATTGAAGAATGCTAGGGCAACTTATCAGAGATTGATCAGCAAGATTTTCAAGGCTCAAATGGGAAAAACTGTAGAGGCTTACATTGACGATATGGTGGTGAAAAGTAAGAGGAAAGTTGCCCATCTGAAACATCTGCAGGACGTGTTTGATGTGTTGAGAAAATATGGAATGAGGCTTAATCCGACCAAATGCTCATTCAGCGTGAGTTCTGGTCAATTCCTGGGGCATGTGGTTAATCATAGGGGAATAGAGGCTAGCCTAACTCAAACAGAAGCTCTGACCAAGAATGCCGAACTAAAGACAGTCAAAGAAGTACAAGCCCTGACAGGTCGGATAGCTGCATTAAGCCGGTTCATTTCTAAGTTGTCAGATTGCTGCAAGCCATTTTTTGACACAAATACG